ACTACATTCTGTGCTCTGTAGCCACATTTTATATTTGACATTTAAACCACACTTCAAAGAAAAACTTAGAAAAATTATCTTTTATTAAAATAAATCTCAAATTATTTATTTCTAAGTTTTATTGTCAACGAAGTATCCAAAAAATTCCAGTACTATAAAAGAACATCTTACTGTTTTCTGTCTGGCTCAGTTCTTGTAAGCTTTCTATCTGGATACCTGCTTCAGGAAAAGATGAGCTTTGTCCACAAGTTCCGAGCGGGAAGTATTCTAAACACCAAGTTTTCAGGATTAGGACTTGAAAATCATTACATTTGAAAACTCCTGAACCGATTCTGTTGCGTGCTGAATTAACTCAGCAGAAAGCTATCAATAAGAACAGCATGTAGGCTGGCGCCGCGGCTCACTAGGCTAATCATCTGCCTGCGGCGCCAGTACCCCGGGTTCTAGTCCCGGTTGGGGCGCTGGTTCTGTCCTGGTTGCTCCTCTTCCGGGCCAGCTCTCTGCTGTGGCCCGGGAAGGCAGTGGAGGATGGCCCAAGTGCTTGGGCGCCTGCACCCCATGGGAGACCAGGAGGAAGCACCTGGCTCCTGGCTTCAGATCGGTGCAGCATGCCGGCCATAGCGGCCATTTGGGGGGTGAACCAATGGAAGGAAGACCTTTCTCTCTGTCTGTCTCTCTCACTGTCTAACTCTGCCTGTCAAAAAAAAAAAAAAAAATTTAAACTTTTGCAGAAATGCCCATGTATATGTATGCCACCTAAGAATCTGAAAATCACAGTTTGCACAAACTTGAGGTTTTGCTTCAGGATAGCTGTAGCGCACCCAGAGGTGGCCGTTTGTCGTAGTGGCTAACACAGCAGATGGGATGCCCACATTCGATTTCATGGTGCCTGGGTTTGAATCCAAGCTCTGCTCTCAGTTGCAGCTTCCTGAGGCTGAGGGAGGCAGTGGTGGTGGCCCATGCAGGTCTCTATCACCCACACTGGAGACCCGGTTAGAGTCCTAGCACCTGGCTTCTGCCTCCCCCAGCTGTGGCTGGTACAGGCAACTGGGACCTGAACCAGCGATTGTTTCTGTCTGCCTGCCTGCCTCTCGGGGGAAAAAAAATTTTTTTTTTTTTTGACAGGCAGAGTGAACAGTGAGAGAGAGACAGGGAGAAAGGTCTTCCTTTGCCGTTGGTTCACCCTCAATGGCCGCCGCAGCCAGTGCGCTGTGGCCGGCACACTGCGCTGATCCGAAGGCAGGAGCCAGGTGCTTCTCCTGGTCTCCCATGGGGTGCAGGGCCCAAGCACTTGGGCCATCCTCCACTGCACTCCCTGGCCACAGCAGAGAGCTGGCCTGGAAGAGGGGCAACCGGGACAGAATCCGGCACCCCGACCGGGACTAGAACCCGGGGTGCCGGCACTGCAAGGTGGAGGATTAGCCTAGTGAGCCGCAGCGCCGGCCGGGGAAAAAAAAAAAATAATGCTGCAACCAAAGACAGTTTCTATGCTGTTTTACTGAAGTCTATCCAAGCAACTATGTTATATTTAGTTTGAGTTTCTTACTTCCAAACTTCTTGACTTTGATTTTTGGATGGAAAAAGTAAATACACAACGTGTGCATTTCCCTTAATAGTTATAAGGTACTACATGGCAAGTACTAGAACCAGCTGCAGGTCAGGATTTGTAAGTAATGCCTTGTTGGGGCTGACGTGAGCTTTTTCACCAAGCCATTGGCATGTGTAGGAGTTAGGAGCAGTGCACCAGCAATGCGGAGTGCCGGCTTCTGTACTAGAGCCAGCCTCCGACCAGCGAGTGAGCTGCTACCCCTCCTCTCAACACCCACACTGCTTCATGCTTCTGGGCAGTTTCGTTATTCCAAAGCACAGATGGTGTAGAGGGCTGGCAGCTGCCACTCCGTTGTGCAGAGGCTCCTTCGCTCACCCATCACACACATGTTCCTGGAGAACCTGCTCTAGTGCTGGTGCTGGGGGGCCGAGGAACGCGGGAAGGAGGTAGCCTCTGCCTTTACGACACTGATGCTCCGTAGTCGGGGAGACGAGAAAGTAAACAAAGAAGTAAAGTGTGCCGTGCTACTCAGGGTGGTGCCAAGGACAGGGGAGGCGCAGAGAGCCAGAGGGTAGAGCTCGGCTATAGCCCAGTCCATGGCCCTTGAGAACGTGGTCATCAAGTAGGAGGTTCTGGCCTCAGGGAGGGGAGGGAGGGAGACCTGTGCCAGGGCAGAACCTCTCCCAGTCAGCAGTGCCCAGAGCCACGCCCTTGAAACAGCCAGGACACCACTGGGAACCTGAGCTTCCCATGAACTCCGACGTTTCCCACCTGCACCTGCCGCTTAAGCACCAAGGTGTTTCCCGAAGAGCACACTCGCCCAGGTGCTGTTTTATTACTCAGTAGGGCTTTCCCCCCTGTCACCTGCACCACTAAACCCATTGCACTGTTTCACTCTCTGTAGCCTTTGTCAAGAGAATACCACTACGGCAACAACTTCGGTTACATAGTTGCATTTAAGCCCTTTGATGGAGAAGAATGGAAAAAGGTGACGGTTACGAACCCGGATACCGGCCGCTACGTGCACAAAGACGAGAGCATGAGCCCTTCCACTGCGTTTCAGGTCAAAGTCAAGGCTTTCAACAGCAAAGGGGACGGGCCCTACAGCCTCATCGCTGTGATCAACTCCGCGCAGGACGGTAGGTGGGGGCAGGGCCTGGCGGCTGAGCCATGGGGAAGCCGGGTTCCCTGGTGCAGGTGCAGCTGGGTTTCGCTCAGCACTTGGCTCTTGAAGCTGTGTTCACGGCAGTGTGCGTATAGTACAGCTGATCTGTCAGCCTCCCCATCCAACGACAGGCAAGTTGCTGGCACCGTCTTCCTTCACATCACGTTCGTGGTGAATGGGAGATCCCCACTTGGGTCACGGGCGTAGGCTCCTGGTTCTGGCCCCTGTTACAGTTTAGTCTCAGAAATTGTCCACACTTCAATGGGAACGTCAGTGTGTCTGTGTCTGCATAAAGTCTACTTGGAAATTCTGTAACATCGGCAATATTTGTAAAATTGCCTGAAAATTTAACCTGCTAATTACAGCTTTTAAGAAAATCACAGCGAAGTGCTGGACTTCTCCTGAGGCGACCGTAGATGATTATGTGAAAACGGGGTCCAAAAGTCAGAGTTGTTTTAATAGAAAGGCGAAAATGTGTCCCGTAGATCAGAGGGGGAAAAAAGCAGTACTGATAGTGGCCCTCTTTGTTTTTCTAGAAATTTCAAGTGAAATGAGCATGCTCTTATGGGCCTTTCTGTGTTTGTGCTCCATGACATAGAAGTTTTATACCAAACACAGTTGCCTTATTCTCATTTCTGTTCCTTAAGGTAGATTTGTTTATTATTTGAAAGGCAGAGTTAGAGAGGGGACGGGCCCGGACAGAGAGAGAGATCTGCTATCCACTGGTTCAGCCGCCAGAAGGCTGCAGTGGCCGGCGCTGGGCCAGACCAAAGCCAAGAGCCAGGTGCTTCTTCCAGGTCTCCCAAGCAGGTGCAGGGGCCCAAGGACTTGGGCCATCTTCTGCTGTTTTCCAGGTGCGTTAGCAGGGAGCTGGGTTGGAAGTGGAACAACCAGGACTTGAACCACTTTCCATGTGGTTGCTGGTGCCGCAGGCACCAGCTTTACCCACTATTCCACAGTGCCAGCCCTGATTGCCTTGTTTTCTATAATTTTCTATAAATTTACTAGGAATTTTATCATTTATATTCCATTAATAAAGACAGGCTGCCTTATCTGTCTCTTCACCCCATGCACCCTACGAGTCATCATTGGCTGTAAGAGCAGACGGAGACCTTGTTGCCTTCTGATCTGACACACGCATCCTTGATCCTCGCCCAGTTCTGTCTCTGAATGCATGTGAGATGCATGGAGGGAGGAGTTCAGATGCTAAGATCAGGCGCAAGGCTCTGTTTGCTCCGAAGATAAGTGCTCTGTTAGTTTACCAGTTTCTGTTATTCTTAGTCTAATGTCATCGTTTAGCCATCCCTTGGAACTCACCAAAATTCTCAGGTCTGCTGTTTTGTCCTTCGTATTTGTTACAAGTGGGGTGTGTTTTCACATCATCCCGATCGCTGCCTCCAACGCGTACTTGCCTCTTGCTGAACCAGTCGACCCTGCTTCCAAGGATTCGCGATCCATTGGCTCAGCCAATTGTACATCAGAAATACTCTTACCATTATATCCCAAGCAATACAGTATAATGACTGTTCACATAGAATTTACATGTATTAGATATATAAAGAGTCTAGGGATGGTTTAAGGCGGGTGGCAGAATGTAATGTGAAGGTGTAGGCAAGTACTACTCCGCTTTATACAAAAGACTTGGCATCTGGGAGTGGGTATGTGCAGGGTCCTGGAGCCCTCCTCCTGGGCTACAAGGGAGCACACCCTCGCATGTACCTGCTTATGGTACGCCGCAGTGCCCACATGCAAGTAACATACACAGCTGTGTCTCTAGCTCCATACGTCATGTTGCACACCTTAAATATACAGAATAAAATTCATTTTAAGCATGCAGGTGGGAAAGGCAGTCATGCACATGTTTCTCAAAGTCAGCTCAACTGAGTGCATTGAAAGAATGAAAAATCACAGCAATTTAAGTTTATAATGAAATACTGAGGAAGTATGATGACCTGTCTAGACTCTGTGTGCTTCTGCTTACGCAGCGGAAGCACAACCTGCGTGAATTCTAGTGATGACAGCACCATGGGAACCTCGCTCAGAGAAGGTGAAGGCTGTTTTACCTGTGTCCAGTGCCGCGTTCGATTCTAAACTCAGCTTTCAGGCAAAGAGCCGTGCCTGCCATCTCAACTTAGTCCTGACCTTTAGGATAATTGTCCTTCTTTCCTAAATTGTTTCTGAGTCCCATAAAACTCGCATGGGCTGAAACTTGCATTCGCTGTGATTGTTTCCTTGTCACTGCCAGGAAACCTGTCGTGGGGCCGCCTGTCCACCTTGGCCAGGAAACCTGTCGTGGGGCCGCCTGTCCACCTTGGCCTGGGAAACCTGTCGTAGGGCCGCCTCTCCACCTTGGCCTGGGAAACCTGTCGTGGGGCCGCCTGTCCACCTTGGCCTGGGAAACCTGTCGTAGGGCCGCCTCTCCACCTTGGCCTGGGAAACCTGTCGTAGGGCCGCCTGTCCACCTTGGCCTGGGAAACCTGTCGTAGGGCCGCCTGTCCACCTTGGCCTGGGAAACCTGTCGTAGGGCCGCCTGTCCACCTTGGCCTGGGAAACCTGTCGTGGGGCCGCCTGTCCACCTTGGCCTGGGAAACCTGTCATAGGACCGCCTGTCCACCTTGGCCTGGGAAACCTGTCGTAGGGCCGCCTGTCCACCTTGGTCTGGGAAACCTGTCGTGGGGCCGCCTGTCCACCTTGGCCTGGGAAACCTGTCATAGGACCGCCTGTCCACCTTGGCCTGGGAAACCTGTCGTAGGGCCGCCTGTCCACCTTGGCCTGGGAAACCTGTCGTGGGGCCGCCTGTCCACCTTGGCCTGGGAAACCTGTCGTGGGGCCGCCTGTCCACCTTGGCCTGGGAAACCTGTCATAGGACCGCCTGTCCACCTTGGCCTGGGAAACCTGTCGTGGGGCCGCCTGTCCACCTTGGCCTGGGAAACCTGTCATAGGACCGCCTGTCCACCTTGGCCTGGGAAACCTGTCATAGGGCCGCCTGTCCACCTTGGCCTGGGAAACCTGTCGTAGGGCCGCCTGTCCACCTTGGCCTGGAAAGGCAACCCCTCTCACATGGGACTTTATTTTAACATTAAATAGGATTATGAATCTTTAATGAAATACAACAAAAATGGATCAGCCCCGCTTAGGGCTTTCCTTGGTCTCTGTGTAAATTTTATAAGGGACATAAATCATTTTTCCCTGAACAGAGGGCCTTTTTGATACATATTTGACTTGATGCCCATTGGGAAGATTAGACATTGAAAGCTTTCTTGAGCCCAAGAACTGTGGAAGTCACAGCTTGTTTCAGAAGATCTTGAATGTTTTAAAGATCTTAGCCTGAATATGAAAGAGGGAACTTTAGGAATATTGTTGCTGTGTATCATTCGTTCATACACATAGCAAGCAAGAGGTAATGCACTCTAACCATTTTTTTCATAAAAATCAGCTTCCCTATTTTTGATAATGGAGAGTTGATAAGCTCAGTATCATTCACTTTAATTTGCATCAGCAGGCTTTCGTGAGTGTATCACTTGGAAGAAACAAGTAACAATTAGTGTGGTTTTTGTTCACAAGTATCATAGAAGTTCATGAATCTGTGGTTCATTGAAAAGAAAGCACACACATGATGTGTACATGTTTCTTTGTTAACATGGTGAGTATGAATGCATATATGTCCATGTATCACCAATAACCACACTTGATCTTAGCCAAAAGGCCAAGAAGCGATGGACCAATAACCATAGAATAACAAACATTAGTGAAAATAAAGGAAGCAGTAATGAAATGATTAATGGGCTTAATTTGCTTTGGGAGGCTGGATACGTGGCATAGTGGGTAAAGCCACCTCCTGCTAATCCAGCATCACATTTGGGCGACAGTTTGAGTTCTGGCTGCTCTGCTTCTGATCTAGCTCCTTGCTAATGGCCTGGAAAAGGCAGTGGAGGATGGCCCAAGTGTTTGGGCTCCTTCCACTCATACAGGAGACCCAGATGAAGCTCCTGCCTCCTGGCTTCAGATCAGCCCAGCCCCAGCTGTTGTAGCCATCTGGGGAGTGAACCAGCGGGTGGAACATCTCTCCCTCCCTCTCTCCTCCTCTCCCCCTCTCCACCTCTCTCCCTCTCTCCCTTTCTCTCTTAACTGTGCTTTTCAAATAAATAAGTAAATCTTTTTTTAAAAAAAGCAGAAATTATCTTGGGAACATTAACGCTATTTTGGGCATATTGAAATGTGATTTGGATTCGTTCCTGGAGCAGTGGTGCTGTTTGCATTTCTTCATGGAAGAGACGGACTAAGAATGTAACTAAGAATGTTCTCATCACATTTCAGCTCCCAGCGAAGCCCCGACAGAAGTAGGCGTCAAAGTCTTATCGTCTTCTGAGATATCCGTTCACTGGAAGCACGTTCTAGAAAAAATAGTGGAAAACTATCAGGTGGGTTCGGTTGTTGTCAGCTAGATCCACCTGCTCGTAAGCGTTTGACCAGCGGTTTTGAAATATGTTCCACCCTTGCGTATCCTGTGTGCCGCTGAGTCGTGTGACAGCTGGCGCTGTATGCTCGGTGTTCAGCATTGTGTAAGCTACCTGCTAAGAGTCAAACAGGCTCCTCCCGGCTTGTCTAGGAGAGGTGGAAAGAGACTGTGCTAGCAAACAATTGGCCAAAACGAAGTGAGGCGATGACTCTCACGGTCCTCGAGTTCTCCTGAAAGACAGATGTTCTCATCAGAGGCTGTCCAGTCTCAGGTGTGTGCAAAGCATTTTGGCAGCTGATTATTCAGGGGCATCCTACAGCTTGTCATTGCACTTGACTCAGCTCCATTTCTTAAAAAACAAAATCCAAAAGGAACCATTACAGATAGACCAAAATGCGTCTCCTAGTGTTATCCATGAAGGCAGAAGTTAGGGCCCACTCGACGTATCCCGAGAAAACTCTCCTTGACCTGAATATGAAAGGACCGGCCGGGGGGAGCCTGACCGGGAAGGGGCCCTGGCCCAGAGGGGGCAGGAACTGGAATGCAGAACCCAGAAGGAGCGGGTTGCCACTCGGGGTGGAATCTGCAGGGTGGCTGCGGTCACGTTGTTCGGTGCCCGCACAGAAAATTCAGATGTGTTGGCATTCACTTATCTGAGGATGTTTTGTCCAGATGGACAGAATTCCTGACTTAAAGGAGAGAACATGGAAACCTGATGCGGAAGTTTATGGCAGCAGCCAACGACAAAACAGACGAGGGCTGACGGGCGGAAGGGCCGGTGCTTCCGTAACTCGCAGCAGCCGTTTCTTTACGCCGAGTCTCTGTGGAGACGGGGTGAAAGCGCTGTCCGTCAGGGCACACGCTGTTCTAGCCCAGAGATTATAGAGAGCACAATCGCTCCTTATAGAAGATAAGGGTTTGACTTTTTAATGAGGCTTGTCTTGTAGCTTCTTCATACTTTGATGAAGACTACATTTTCTTTGAAATCATTGGACCTCAGTATCACCTACATTAGCAGTTTGATGGGAACCTGTTCCTTGATTCTTAATTCTGAGGTCTGATTGTGAAGAGCACGCTTGGTAGATTCTGTAGACATTCGCAGCACAGCGACCGACCTGCTTGTTTAATCAGTGAGTGAGCTCCCCGCGCCCGGCAGTCCCGTGTGTGCGGTATTGGACACTGCTCTTCCTGTGCCCGCGGCGCTCCTAACATGGTCGAGTGAAGGAGCAGTAGCACAGCGACCCCGCCATTTGATCAGCGCTGACACAGGGAGCCCCAGAGAGGGACAGTGGAAACATGTGAGACACCAGCACCCTTCCAAGTAGCTCTGTATCCAAGGCTTAGATAGAACTTACAGATGTCTGGCTCCAAAAGTGCTTGTATTTGAAGAATAAAAGTCATCATTCACACCTTTTGTTAAGCTTTAAGAGATAAGATAACTCCATAACCGCTTGACAGATGTCATCATTTCTAATGATGTGGGCACATTTTTGATAACTTGTACAACCTGCCCAGTTGTTAGGTCCAGAGGTGACAGGCCAATGAAAGGAAGCGAGTGCACAGACTCACTTCCCCAGGGAGCGTGGAGAAAGTGCTGCCTGCGCCCACGCCGTCTCAGCCACGTGCCGACCACACCTGGGGGTCAAGTTGTTCTCCTGTCGCACGGCCTTACTGCGGTTCTTACAGTCACATAAACAGGAAGAAGTAAGTCAGCGATAAACACTGGTCTGGCCAGTGCTTCCCAACAGAGACCACTTTTCTATTTAGAAGGTTAATCTTACAGTTTCCTGTGTGGTTTCGTGCCATTTTTTTGTTAGGGTAAGACTCTTTCAGGCAATGAGATAAGGCTTTTATTTGCTTTTGACACCTTGGATTGCACCTGCGTGTGGGCCTTGCCCTGACCTGAGGTCCGTCAGAGGGTCGGTACGCCAGGTGGCATTTCAGAACCTGCACCGGCAGTGACAGAGCCACCGCTGCAGAGGCTGACCCATGGCGAGCCGTCACTTGTCTTGGATGTTTGCAGATCCGCTACTGGGCCGCCCATGACAAAGAAGCAGCGGCACACAGAGTGCAGGTCTCCAGCCAGGAGTACTCGGCCAGGCTGGAGAACCTGCTGCCGGACACACAGTACTTTGTGGAAGTCGGGGCCTGCAACAGTGCGGGCTGTGGGCCCTCCAGTGACGTGATCGACACCTTCACCAAGAAAGCCCGTGAGTCGCACGTTTCAGTTTCCTGTTGTTGTCAGGTGCTCCCGCTGAGCGGGTGCAGGTTAAGATGCTCCTGTTCCTGGCCGGCGCCGCGGCTCACTAGGCTAATCCTCCGCCTGCGGTGCCGGCACACCGGGTTCTAGTCCCGGTCGGGGCACCGGATTCTGTCCCGGTTGCCCCTCTTCCAGTCCAGCTCTCTGCTGTGGCCCAGGAGTGCAGTGGAAGATGGCCCAAGTGCTTGGGCCCTGCACCCCATGGGAGACCAGGAGGAAGCACCTGGCTCCTGGCTTCAGATCAGCGCAGTGCACCGGCCACAGCGGCCACTTGGCAGGGGGTGAACCAATGGAAAAGGAAGACCTTCTTTCTCTCTGTCTCTCTCACTGTCCACTCTGCCTGTCAAAAAAAAAAAAAATGCTCCCATTCCATATTGGAGCCTTGGGTCTGACTCCCAGCTCTGAGTCCAGCTCTCTGCTAACACAGGGCCTGGGAGGCAGCAGGTGACAGCCCCCCCCAGTTCCTTGGGTCTCTGCCACCCACGTGGGTGACCTGGATTGGGTTCCCAGCTCCTGGCACAGCTCTGGTCATTGTGTGCATTTGGGGAGTGACCAACAGATGGGAGCTTGCTCTCTCCCTCTCTCTCTGCCTCAATAACAATAATAATGTTTTAATAATAAGAAGAAAACTACCACTTTATTCAGTCATGATGCGTTTGAGGCAAATTTCCTGTCCAGCAGTCTGAGCACATTGTGGTCTTGGTAGTCCAGTGATAATCACATTTTACATGTGGTCATTTATTGGCAGTAATGAAAAATGTGGACACTGTCTTCCTGCATTTAATGCTCCATGTTAAAACTAAAATTAGAGGTAACGCCTATATAAAACAGACCTATTTTGTGTCATTGGATATTTCACTGGTCTTCCTTGAACCCTGCTCAATTTTTACACTTTGATTTATCAACATTCAGCGTCGCCCAGTGCAGATGCGAGTGAAGTGAGTGAGTCGGTTGCTGTTGTTACTGTGTGTTCTCACGTCCGTGCAACAGAGCCACCTGCTTTGCTCTGAGGTTTTCATCCATTCTCATCTCTGCAGCTTCCTTTGCTATCCTGCCCCTGAATCCAAGCTGGAAATAAATATAAGTGTGTGTGTGTGTGTGTGTGTGTGTGTGGATTAATGGATTTGCCTGCAGGCCTTACTAGAATTTCACAAGTATCTATGGGCAGGATTACCACCAGGGTTTGCAAATTTATGAAGTTCCCTTGGCCACAGAGAATCTCTTAATGAGATGACAATTGCATGGTAGGAGCCAGTGTTTCATTTCAGATGCAGTTTGAGATCTGCATCTGCCTCTTGCGAAATGTATAACACTCTAGCTGGACTCACTTACCTCTTCAGACTGGTTTTCTCCTTTATAAAAGAAGCGTCCATTCCTGTGAAGTTTTCCATTTATTCATTCATCAGAAATATGCTCTGTGTCCAGCACTGTCCAAGTGGTGAGGGTGCATCAGGGACCAAGCCACACAGAGATCATTCTCTCACAGTGTTGACTCCTAAGGGAAGGG